GTCTATCTGGGCAAAGCAATTTCAACGAAGCATATCTTCAATACTGAAAACACGATGAGTCATTTGTTTTATTCTATACCCTTTTTTTTTTATTCAAAATGCATGCTAAAATTCATGCTATTTTTTTGGAATGCAGACTTCAAGAGATAATAATACTTTAAAATAAGTTTATCCAGTACTAAAGACCACGTTGATCACATATTTTTACAGCAGTTAGAGAACTGTCATTAGTTCTGGAGTTCTAGCAGGATTCTAATTAACTGGAACCATCAAGTAGCCTATTGACATAAAGCTCTAATTTTCGGTGTTTAGGACATTTTTCTTTTTTTTTGGTTTTGTCTTTACCTTCAGTTCCTATTATGTACCATTAAAAAACAGTCCACGACATTAATGTACACTTTAGAATTTTTCCCAGTGTGCAATTTCATATAGAGCAATTTATTTTAAGGCTTTGAACGATATTGTTCGTATTTGCTTTTATTTGTGAACACTAAAGCACTAAACAAGGTCAAGATCGTATCTACTTTTTTTTGAAGATTATAGAAAAGAAAAATAACAGTGTTGGACCCTAGCACTGCCAAACTGACCTGAAGCACATAGCCCTGGTAATGAAGGAGTTAGGGTGTACATTATTGCTGCAATTCTATATGATCCTTCTAAACTTGGTCAAAGAGAGTGTAATAAATCAAGCTTTTGTGATGGTTGCTGTAGGCCATTAATTATTTTTGGCATCCACATGAAAAATGTTTTGGTGGGAATTGTAGCATGGCCAGTATTTCAAAATACAATTTTAATATCACACACACTTGCCTGCACACTATGTGTTCTGCACAGATTACAAATACAGTTAAACATTGATAAGAGGCAGGAACAGGAGTATGGTAAGGTACTTTTAATTGACTAAATAACACTGCAATATATTGATATGCAGCTAAGGCTGACATAAGAGTGTGCATAATTTGTACACAACTATTCAAAATTGCATTTTTGTTGTCAATCTGTATTTAAGATTTTTTTTTATCACTTTGCAAACCATTATATGAACACATCAGGAAGAATGTCCCTTACAGAGAAGAGAAACAGGAATATGGTAACAAGGAGGTAGAAATCACATAAATGTAACAGACATCCCACAAAGACCTCATGGGAATAACACACAAATGGAGCACATCAATATGTATTTTCAAATGACAAAATAATATAACCTGAGTAGAGAAAATAAAACCCTGGACAAAGTCCAGAAGATAATCTGTTTCATTAGGGGACTATAAGTAATGTAAAGAGAGCAACATGGGAGAGAGCATGATCAGGTAAAAGAGACAGGAAAGGCAGAAAGCAAAGAATAAGGGTGATCAAGACACAGGAACGTGACTACCCTCTTCATGACTACCCTATAATATATCTCCTCGCTCCCCAGGTAACCCCAATCTAGGGATTTCAGCCACGGGACTCAAGTGGACCAATAATTTACCTGTCTCTGGTATATGAAGACTGTCCATGTTCTTTACAACCTATTGTTGCATTGGAGAATGAGTGATCCCCTGGTAGAACAGATCAGAGTCTTAGCAACATTCAGGAGGTGTTTGAGCAGAGATTTTTTATAGATGGAGATTTAATATAAAGTTGTAAGTATTCTGCCGGCCACAAAGTGGGAAGACTGTCCAGTAAGCATCATAGGGTAGTGTGGATGCTCTTCCAGAATAGAACTATCTTCAAACAATCCAACCAAATATACAGCAAAGTAATAAACTGAAAAACAAAAATCATCTCCAACTAGGGAGATCTAAGGATGCTGGCAATGGTAATGAATAAACAACACAATAGGAATAGTGATGTCCCGAACGGTTCGCTGAACGGTTCGCGAACGGTTCGCCATGGACTCATCATTGAGTAAACTTTGACCCTGTACCTCACAGTCAGCAGACACATTCCAGCCAATCAGCAGCAGACCCTCCCTCCCAGACCCTTCCACCTCCTGGACAGCTCACTAAGAATGCAGCTTCAAAATGGATGCTGTCCAGGAGGTGGGAGGGTCTGCTGCTGATTGGCTGGAATGTGTCTGCTGACTGTGAGGTACAGGGTCAAAGTTTACTCAATGATGAGTCCGCGGCGAACCGTTCGGGACATCACTAAATAGGAATGATACACAAAAATCTCTAACTTGGTTATGGTAGGTGTCTATGTGAGGGAACAGTTGGAACTAATGTTCCAGTATATTTGCAAGTGCCCTTCAAACAGAAAAATATTCACATATAACTTTATTAATCTTTAATTAAAAATGCGAAAATGAAGGGAACACAAAAAATCCCCTACGATGGCTAAAGAGAGAGTTGGCAGTGTTATATCTGCCTTCAATGGTATTGCATAGGTCTAATTTGGCTAATATATTGATTAGTTGTTCGCTTGACTATGTTTTTTGTTTGCTTTCAGTTGGTTATGACGATGGGGAACAGGGGAGACTGTCATATCTCTTAGAGTGAGTTCTAATTTAGAACACCCACGAAGGTGTTACAGGAGACTAGGGACTAGCATTGGAGATTGTAGATAGGACTCCAGATAACTCTAGATATGGTCCACTATAGAGTTGAATACCTCTGGGTGTTTCTAAGGGATAAGAATGTACCAAGCTATGGATGTTTTCCTCAATTGTACAGGAGCTAAACGGCCAGCTGTTTCATTTGCCTGTTGTGGCTTATCTGAGTACAGATGGGAAGGCCGATTTTTCGCCATTACAAGGATTATATTGTAAAAACATCAAAACGTAGCAATCTTTGGTTACCTCCCCCTTTAACCCACTGAGGGCTATCCGCTCTGAGGATCCAACTGCCTTCTTGCATTAGGTCTTGTAGGCGATAGTTAAGCGAACACTTAATCAATATATTAGCCAAATTAGACCTATGCAATACCATTGAAGGCAGATATAACACTGCCAACTCTCTCTTTAGCCATCGTAGGGGGTTTTTGTGTTTCCTTCAATTTCGCATTTTTAATTAAAGATTAATAAAGTTATATGTAAATAGTTTTGTGTTTGAAGGGCACTTGCAAATATACTGGAACATTGGTTCAAACTGTTCCCTCACATAGACACCTACCATAACCAAGTTAGAGATTTGTGTGTATCATTCCTATTGTGTTGTTTATTCATTACCATTGCCAGCATCCTTAGATCTCCCTGGTTGGAGACAACTTTTGTTTTTCAGTTCATTAATTAATTTGGGTACAAGTCCTCGGTGGAGCTGGCACCACCACCTGACCATACTGCCTTGTACCTATCTCCCCCCCCCCCTTCTTGCTTAGAGTGGGGCTGTAAGAGACAAGGCTATACTCTTTGCTTTAATTTTCACATACAGCAAAGTACTCTCATCTGTCCCACAGTACAAACAAGAGCTAGGCTGATTTCTTAAAATCAGAGTGTCAGAGCTAGGCTGATTTCAGCAATTCGGGGTGTAAAAGTTTTGGAGTCCTATACCACTCTGAAAGGAGCTCATAATTTGTCTCCAGTATTTTTGAGAAGAAGAAGGTTCAGAATAAATAATTTTGTCCACTGTTCCTCGCTAAAACTCACCCTTGTGTGTCCTCCCAGCAGCACATGTACCTGTTTGTTGGAAGAGGCTCATTTCAAGGAGCAACTTGTATAGCTCCGAGCTTCCTCTTCTTGAGTGCACAATTGCTCAAAAGGTGTTTGAGGCCTGAGGAGGTTTTTCTGAGAATGGAGAGAGTGCTGAAATGTCATTGTTTATCATCATGACAAGTGACCATCTTTCCCTGAATTGCTATGAACTTCTTTACTATTATACTCATCTGGTTATTAATGTGAAAGGAGTGAAAGCATACAAAGGTAATAGATGCAAAAAGGGCAGTGGTCATAGCTATACTGATGTAAAGAATGATCACACCCAGCTCTTACTGACCTTTGACTTACCACTGGGCTAAATTAATAATTAATCAATTTGGAGAAAGAGATAGAAGGAGACTAGGGATCAGTAAAATGCATGAATTGCAATCACAACCTGCCTTGTGAAATAATAAATGTCTAGTAGTTCTAAAGACTGGACCAGGTACATGAAACACACCGTAATCAGAGGTTCTTGACGGAGTACTGTAATTTTCCAGGATTTAAAAAAAATAATTTATCCTCTCTTTTTTGTTTTACAAATAATTTATTGTGTTTAAGTAGAGCAGAAGAACATGGCTGGTGTTGAGGTTACATAACTGAACACCCTATTGAATATTTATGTGTTGGGTAAAAAACGTAGAAAAAATAAGAAATGATCAAAAAACAAACAAAAAAATGTATGTATACTATATCTGATATGGTTGGTTCCAATTAAAGTTTGTAGAAAAAAAAGACAAGTATGCATTGTATTTAACAAATATGAATTTGTGAGGTGTGAAAAATAAAATATAAAGTAGAAATCCACTCCTCTTTATCATATAACTAGGTGCTTCCATTTAAGCTATCTTTCAATCATTGTTATAAGCTCAGCCATCATTACAAGTTCTGTCCTTTGCATGTGGCAGTCCCTATAAAAGAGCAAGCGTAGAAGAGGACAGTGTTTCTATGTTTCCCCTTCATTTCCAATGCTTCCCCAGGCTGTGTCTGAACTGCACTGGATTGTGATGCCATTTGCTAAATCTTTAACTATAATTTAAAAGAAAACATATCATCACACATTTAACACATCTTTTAGGTCATTTTCAAATTTTGCATTCAAAGGTGTAATTACCCGAGAATTAGTGGTTCCCCTTTAAATCTTTTATCTTGCCTATTTATTACTTGAATAATGTGAATACATAACGCCAACACAGTCCGCTTTTAAATATCCCATTTACACATGTCTCCTCTCCAACCAAAGTTGACTAACGTGGTTTTAAAGGGGATTTCGTTTGTTGGTTGTCACTTATTATTGTAAAAATATAATTTGCCTATACTTCCTCCTCACAGTTGCAGAGCTGAGAATGAAATTAGCGGTTGGATATTTTGACCACTGTACAGTTGCAAGAAAAAGTATGTGAACCCTTTGGAATGATATGGATTTCTGCACAAATTGGTCATAAAATGTGATCTGATCATCATCTAAGTCACAACAATAGACAATCACAGTCTGCTTAAACTAATAACACACAAAGAATGAAATGTGGCCATGTTTTTATTGAACACACCATGTAAGCATTCACAGTGCAGGTGGAAAAAGTATGTGAACCCCTAGACTAATGACATCTCCAAGAGCTAATTGGAGTGAGATGTCAGCCAACTGGAGTCCAATCAATGAGATGAGATTGGAGGTGTTGGTTACAGCTGCTCTGCCCTATAAAAAACACACACCAGTTCTGGGTTTGCTTTTCACAAGAAGCGTTGCCTGATGTGAATGATGCCTCGCACAAAAGAGCTCTCAGAAGACCTACAATTAAGAATTGCTGACTTGCATAAAGCTGGAAAGGGTTATAAAAGTATCTCCAAAAGCCTTGCTGTTCATCAGTCCACGGTAAGACAAATTGTCTATAAATAGGGGAAGAAGCTCAACAGAAGATGGATGTTGCAACAGGACAATGACCCAAAGCATAGAAGTAAATCAACAACAGAATGGCTTAAACAGAAGAAAATACGCCTTCTGAAGTGTCCCGGTCAGAGTCCTGACCTCAACCCGATTGAGATGCTGTGGCATGACCTCAAGAAAGCGATTCACACCAGACATCCCAAGAATATTGCTGAACTGAAACAGTTCTGTAAAGAGGAATGGTCAAGAATTACTCCTGACCGTTTTGCACGTCTGATCTGCAACTACAGGAAACGTTTGGTTGAAGTTATTGCTGCCAAAGGAGGTTCAACCAGTTATTAAATCCAAGGGTTCACATACTTTTTCCACCTGCACTGTGAATGTTTACATGGTGTGTTCAATAAAAACATGGCAACATTTCATTCTTTGTGTGTTATTAGTTTAAGCAGACTGTGATTGTCTATTGTTGTGACTTAGATGATGATCAGATCACATTTTATGACCAATTTGTGCAGAAATCCATATCATTCCAAAGGGTTCACGTACTTTTTCTTGCAACTGTATATGTGTGGAAGCAAAGCACACATGGTCAAAGTTACAATGTTACATTTGCACACTGGGGACCATTTTATTCTACGGTAGCTATAGAAATGTAGGTATTCTTGCTGCACAATTTATTTTATTTTAGAGACAGGAGTAGAATATTAGATTCTAGATAAGCTATTATGGCTGAGTGATAGGCTGTATAAGACATTGTATGGTAGGATGGATGGAGAGATCCTTTGATTGATCTTTTTCATAAAGCTTGTAGTCTAAATGTTCATAGATTTAACTACAAGTGACTAATTTTGATAAATTAACATAATTTAAGCTAAGCTATATTTTAACATCTATGCCAAACAAAATAAATTAATAAAAATAAATAATTGTCATAATTTAATACCCTGGTATTTAATTACAGTTGGTTATAGATGGTTGGTTATAGATACAGAGAAGTAGTCTTTTTCTACATGTACTTTTTCTTGGGAATAAAACAGATACATTTTTATTTTTACATGTAATGTATAGCTAGCAAATACAAAGCATCAAATAGGACAAAAGTTTAAGCAAACAAAATTTAAAATTAATCAATTGACAGCATTGTTTTTTTTTTTTTTTTCATTGATTCATTGTTTATTTCCAGAAATACTGTAGAATGTGGGAAACAATATTAGTGTATATGTTATCACATGCTTCAATTGAATTGAAAAAATATGTTGCACTAAGCAAAAAGAAAATGTAAATTAAAATAATGAATTACCCAATTTAATACATTTGTTAAGAATCTGAAAGTACTATTCAGAATGTAGAATATTGTGTCAATATGTTTGTGCAATACCTACCTACAGTAAGTATAGTTACAAGGATAAAACCAAATGCCTGTATTACAAAGGACTCTACATTAAGTCAACCTCACTTCATCGCTTCTATGCTACAGACCCCGTTAATACCGCATGAAGGACACATCTGGAGTGGAAGGAAAAAATAAATGTGGTTAAAAAATTAAATCAAAGAAACACAAATCAAATTATTTAACATTACAAAGCACATGAGTTTGGGAGTGTAGGTGCTCAAATGAAGAAAGGTTTTGTACAGTTTTTACACAGTTGTAGGGCTCTTGGGAACAAAACATTTAAGACAGTCTCTTTTTGCAGTCTGCCGCTGTGAGTAAACCACTGGAATTGGACCTGCAGATTTCTTTAATATTCTTCAATATAAGTAAAAAATACATGGTTAATGAGAACACACAAAAAACAGTCTTAATAGCATCACATTATCATGATAAATCTTAAAATATTTACAAAACAATTTTTAAGTTGTATAAATTAGAAATGCATTTCTTATTTTATTAACCTTGTGAATCATACAATGTCTACTTCCATAACAATTACTAAGCATATTTTATTTTTCAAGCTGTGCCTTGTGCTTTCACTGAATGATTAAAAATATTCTTTAGTAATAAAAATGGACAGAAATTCATTGTTAAAGGAAATACTTTCAGTATTGTTGAGCAGATGCAATTTTATTTTTAAACTGCATTACTTTAGTGATTTTTTTTCCCTTTTGCAATTATATTAATCAGCCCGGTGCCACGGGGCCTTACAATACATTGATTTTTATGTGCTGCCAACTCTTTAGGCAAAAGCCCCACACTGATAAAGAAATCGTTTACAGTAAAAATACCTCTCTCCACTGGATATTTGCGTTCATTTCAATCTGTGTCTGCATTAGCTAGTTGGTGAAAATATCTTTCTTTACCTGCATCTAGCTTTTAATGGACTTTGTATAGTGATGTCTATCTCATTGTTATGCTTTAGTAGGGCTGAAGAGGTATTAAATAGCTATAATCAGAATTCTGAATAGTGTTTTCCAAAGTACCTAACTGTGCAGCAGAGATCTCCGCTCTTTTAAGGTTGGTCAAAACATCTTGGGAGCACATATTACAGATGTCTGCCAATACCCTGTGACAATCCATCATAGTAATCTGGGCATTATGCTGTATGCCAATGAGCCTCTGCTTAACTTTTTCACAGCACTGCATCTTGGGACAGACAGCAGGGGATCTCAAGGAAGCACTTATTTTTGGAAATGGCTGTGACAGTAATGAAGGACATTGCAAGCAATGAGCTTGAATTCATCCCCAGGGATGAAGCGTTTTGTCAATTGAAAAGGACCACATGAACATAACCAACCCACCCATTTCAGGAAATTAGTCAGAGGCTTTTGGAGATGACCAGAAGGTGGTACTGTGTCAATGATACCTGCCTCAAAGCCACAGGTGCTCTATCTATGGGACTGCATGCTGCACTTAGAGTGTGATGTCAAAGCTTGATGGTGTCAACGATGGACTGTGCTATGTCATTGTTTGTGGTCTCTGGCTGACATTACAGATAATGTGCACCATCATAAAGCCTTCAGAATGTGGGAGATCACTTCCTATCTACTTTTTTCATTTTTCATCTACCCACCATGGAGAACTGAAAGACCCGGTAGGGAGAATATGACTGATGTTTAGTTTGCAGAAATACTCAAAAACATGAGGTGCCCAACTACCTTCACTGCATACATTGTCCGAATTGATGCTGGGCTGGTTGAAATATCTGATCTCCTGAGCTAGTTCATAACTGCACTGCTGGGCCCCTGACTTTCCTATGCATTCAGTTCATGACTGATGTGCCCAACTAGAAAGTTCACCTCTGGGTCATCAACCATCACAGTTTGGTATGTGGAAGACACGTTCCACAGTGCATCTGTGGCCCTTGGAGCATTTCTCTACTGCACTCTCACGGTCTTTGACCCAAGAATTGTTTTGTGATTTGTTTTACATTAAGACATGGTGGATACAAATGTGCACTTACTCATGTCATGAATGCTATAGCTTAGATTACAAAACTCATGTTCATCTGTCAGAAACCGAATAGCCACTGGATCATAGCAGCACCTCATTGGTGGACACAAGAATCAAGCATTTAATTGGCCTTTAACTGTTTATTTGGCCTGTGCACTCTCTCTTTATATGTCCTTGACTTGTCACTGTCTCTAATAGCATTTGGTCTTATAACCATCATGCTCAAGGACATGTTATCATCTTACAAAAAAAAAAAGATTTAAAAAATCCTGTATGACATAGCACAACTATATTGTCATAGTCTGTTTATGTCACTATGTCATCATAAACCATCATAAAACTATATATACACTGCAAAAAAAAAAGAATTAACAAAAAAGACATGGTGGCTACAAACACTAAGGAAAAAGAACTATTGATTTTACTTCAAACTAAATGCGCACATTTTTTCTTTATATCATACAGCTCCAAATAGCTTGTCAGATCTTATCAATTTTAAGATGCATTATCAGTAAAATGAGGTCTCATCTAAAGTACATGCTTTTAAATTCACATAATATATGTGTATATGTACATAGATCGGATTTGCTGATTGACTCTGCTGATAATATATTTATCTAGGATTATTAATGTTCTGTGTCATGCAAATTAAAATATAATAACCTAAGGAAAAAAAAAAACAATGATCTTAACCTTTTCATTTAGCTTGTTGATGGAACCTGGAGAACAGAATGTTTGATAGAAGTGCAGATGGTAGGAGAAAGGCGCAACAAAATGTATGTCCTTAGTTAGAGCTAGTTTTAGAAAAGGAACAAAATCTATAACTTGTGACATTTTTCAATGGAATTTAATATCATATAATACAGGCCAGCAAGTATTGTGTCAGAAAATGAATGAGAACCTTGTCTAACAAATCCCACTGGGAGCAATTATATCTACTTATGGATGTAAGTATATGTGACTTTATAGTGACCATCTGACAATAACTGCTGAAAACAGCAAATACACAATATTAAGCTATATAAATCTAATGCTGAAAGATATTCTGTGTGTGTGTGTCTGTTTGTGTCTGTATGTGTGTGTGTACATGCAGTTCTGCCTTCAAAGTCATGCTCTAATATGTTTAAAAAATAATAGTTTACGTGAACAATGAGGTTTATTCTCTTAAGGTTGAGTGTAAGCCAACACACGATTTGAAGCCAATAAGACAATAAGGCAAAGCTGGAAGAAAATTCCAAATTCAGCCTTGTTTTAATCTAAAATGAACCTTTAAGAGAATATACCAGGATAAATTGACTTTAAAGGACCACTATAGGGTTTTTAGGTCCCCCCCACCCTCA